CAGAAATGGGCATAAAAAAATAGCACAAAATTCATCAGCTATCTTGGCAATACCATACCAGTAACAAAAATAGAGGTTGCAGTTAAATATTTATTCTCATCACTGCTTCTATAGCTCAAACAGAATAGATGATGTAAAATAAAGCTATCCTAGTTGATGTTAATTGTTGCATTTCCTGAATTTCTATAGATGACAGGGTGACAGGAAGTATCCAGAACTGCTATTTGTAAGTTGCACTGATTTAAGATAGTTACAAGGGAAAACAGACAATGCAGGAAAAAAAGATTAGGAGAATTTAGCAGATATTTAAGCACACAGCAGTGGGTCATGTTGAGTGCAAAACAGTTTCCCAGAACATTCAACTTCTGACTTTATCAGGAGCTGGGAATGATATTTTGTGTCTGGTTCAAACAGTTTTATTTCAGAGAAAAAAATGGTATTAACAGAGAGTAATTTTAATACATATAAATATTCTTAGCATACGTTTCTTTCTTCAAGAACACATATAGACATCAGCACAGAGAGAGGTATTGGGGGAAAAAAAGGAATAAAGAAAAGATATTATGTATTTGTTTGGCTGTATCTTAGTATGGTAAGTTTTTGATCACTTAAATCATATTATAAAATTTATGGGTTAATACTAGAAATGAATTATTTAGTGTAACAATCTAATTAAATAAACTCTTAAGGAAGTTGTTAAATATCCTTTAGAATAACCAAGACGCTTGTTTTCTAAGGCCACAAAATTCTCTTTTTAAATAAGCATAAGTTTAGAAGAAATATGCCAACCACTGCTGGTAAATCATATTAGTTATTTTATCTAATTATGCCTTACTAAGACCTTAAATAATAGGCTGAGAACCTGACATATAGTTTCTGCTCCTAGAGTCCAGCCTAAAAGAGCATTTTAGCACCTATCTTTTAGACAGACAAGGCTGGTTTTGGAACTAGCCCTTATTGTCAGACTTGCAAAGCCATTTCAGGCATCAAGTCCTATTGGGCATCTAGGCTTTAAAGGAAATAAGTCTTTCACTTGCACTGGGGAGTACTCACAGGGGCAGAGTTTCAACTTCTGTAAATAATTACCATTGATTTGAACTTTTGCGTAGCTCAGTCAGGTTTAGAGGGGTGTGATGTAGATAGATAAGATTTAAAAATAAATTTTAAGAAATCAGAGCCCTGGTTCCCAAATGTCTTTATGATTACAAAAAAATCCTCACTACCTTTATCTGATAGTGAGATTAGTCCTCTGAAATCTTTTCTTTTTCCAAAGTAAGATTTTTTTATTTGTATCTCTCAGGAGTAGGCTACCATCCACCTGTCATCAAACAGGTAGCACCTACACTTTAAATACTCTGCTGGCTTTGTTGCCTTGGTCCTGCACCCTAGTCCTGGGATAAGATATGTAGAGGAAGTAGGTTGCACAGCACAGTTAGCTCAAGCTGTTGCTGAATGAAAAAAATTATTTGCCTAAGAGAAAATTTAGGGTAGGCGGGGGTCAGAAAGAAAGGGATTTGGAGGAATCCATCTTCTTGTGTTCCTTGGTGCACCCAGCCCTTAAAGCAGGCTGTTTCCTCACAGAAACATCGTTTTACCCCCAGATGCATAGCCTAGGGAGAGCAGAAAACAAGCAGAATGAGCAGTATCATGAACATATTATATAGACACAGAGAAGCTCTTTAAGGTAAAGGAACATAATTGAGATAAAGAAAATAACAGGACATAATATATGTTACTGTTCTTTCACCTTCTTTCACAGACTGTGTTTCATATTTGCCCTTTTGAGCCATACTCTGGTGACTACATTCAAAAATCCCAGCAAAGACTGATTACAAATATTTTTTTCCTCTGATTTCATTTTTTTTTTCTTAGATGTAGGTTTCCACCCTTTAAAGTATTAGTAGTACTGTTAATCCTGGAATTTTCCTCTGAACATGGGACTTCACCATCTACCTTTTTTCATCCTGCATAAAAGATGAATTTTATTATTATGGAAAATAAACTTGGTTTTGGTTTTCTTAAAATCTCATAGATTCATTTTCCAGTTACCAAGTGATTCAAGACTCAGTTTTTAAATGGTAATATGCTTTATGATGTTTATTTCCTTTCAGCAAAGTTTCTAATGCCTTAAAACAACAAAATAAAACAAACAAAAAAAAAAAGAGATAATTATCTTGGAGTTTAGACAGTATGCTGAGCTGGTTGCTATCCATAGTTATGTCATGTTACTTTCTTGATTTTTCTTTTTTTTTTCCTGTCTTAATTATTTGGGCAAGCAATACAGCATGTAATAGCACACTAATCGATCAACGTAAAATTTCCGAATTACAATTCATGAAGTTTACTCAAAAAGGACTAAAATTTTCAAAAGAAAAAGAGAAATCTATAGAAAGTATTGAAAATAAACAGCAATAAAGAGCAATATTTTGTACTATTTTTCACCAGAAAGTCTGTTTACACGATCCAAACTCCATCCCAGCAAAGAGACTTTTACTGACTCCAATCTTGCAAGACTCATAATATATCCAAAGTTCTCCTATTACATTTCAAATTACACTTTTGGAAGTTTCTCTTGTGTGTAGCTTAATAGTTTTTAAGAAAATTATAATATTTGGAGTTGTTTTCTTTTGGGTTTCTGTTTGTATCAATCAGTCTCATTTTCAGCTGCTGTTCACTGATATTTCTGTTGTAGAAAAATGAAGCTGTTGTTTTGCATTTGTTTTTTTGAAAAAAATAATATATTGTTCTTATTATGCTATGTGTGATGTGATTTTCCCTGTGGACTATCCTGGTAGAAGTAATATGTCTATGAAATTTGAATTAAAATAGATTAAATACCTGCAAAGATGTGCACTACAGATTTTTTTTCTTCCTCGAATCTCAAAAATAAGCAATTGTTTTGAAAAGACAAGATAAAAGTACCAGTGGAGGCAAGAAATAAGGGTATTACCAGAAATTAACAAAGCTATCTAGTATTCCAGCTACTTAACCTCAACCTCTGACGCTTTTTACCCTTAGTAAAGTAGGGATGTATTTTGACTGTCTCCACAAGCAGCAAAACAATACCAGCTTCTCAGCTTATGGATATTTCTGTATCAGGGTTCCACCTGAGAACTTCAGTGTAATCAAATTCATTATCATTTTAGCATTTTAATATAAATGGGATCATCAAAGAAACACACTAGTACAGGGTTTTATTTGTAATGCTGTGCATAACTTAGAATTATCAGCTATAACATTTGATAACTCAGGAAATAAACCAGCTTATTAATAGTACAGTTCTGTGTGTCCTCATCAACTTCACATGCAAGCATTTATATATCTGAAAGCCCTTGAAGTGAAAGAGAGAGAAATATCCCTTGCAATGTGTATGTACCCTTGTTCAGGAGTACACAAAACAAAAATGAGTCGTTTTCTAATGTTATGTGACATTGTACACAAGTATTCATTGATAAGTTGAAGGACGCTTTGGTTTAGGATTTTAGATTTTTAGCTGAGGTGTAGGGTAACCACACGGCACTATTATAGCTCAAATAGTTCGAGAAGCCTCATGTCCACATTATTCTCAGAAGAACCTAGGTTCCTATTTTTCTGTGTACGTGAAGAAAGCTTTCCATTGGAGAAGGCTACGCAAAATGTGTTTTTCACTGTCAGGCTGTTGATGCTCCTTCCTACAGATAGCAGTGGAACAGGTAACTGAGCCATAGACAGACTCACGATGCCTTCCCCTCAAAAAAACCCAAAAGCAACACTTTTACTAATGCTTCAAATGAAAAGGGGAACAAAGCACAGGCGGGCCAGTCACACAGTTTGTAGTATGCAGATGTATATGATTATCAGCCATCATGGTAACACCTTCATCTACTGGGATTTTGCCCTCAGTAATACAGCAGATTTGTTTTTACAAATCTGGCCAAAAGATGTGTAGAACCTAATTCTCAGGTCTGCCTTCTAGTTCTGTTTCTTTAAGGATTTTTTTTTCTTTTTTTTTCTTCTTTTTTTTTTTTTTGTTCTATTTGTTCAATTTCTGTGTGGTTTCTTCTGTAGATTTCAGCAGAATATACATATATGCACACATACAACTGCATATGTATGTGTATGGTTTTGTAAATGTTCTCAATCATGCTTTTTTCTGCTTTGCATCATTTATTCATATATCTTCCATGTTCTCTTTTATTTTTTGCGCAACTGAACCTTATAATAAATTATTATTAAATATAACCTGACAGCGACAGAGTGTCTTCATGGTTTGTTTTTTTTTCCTGGACATGGGGGGAGGGGTGGGGTGGAAGGAGGGAGGGAGGAGAGCAGGGACTACACTTCTATTCCATCCGCAAATAGAAAGCACTGAAATAACTGTGATGAGTGGCAAGAAACCTGCAAAACCACACAGCTGTCAGACAGCAAGCTGCTGTTCATACTTTTAAATCTAGGTTCAAGGATCCCTGATATATTTGCTTTTCTGAGCTGAATAGTACTGTTAGCCCAGCAGCAAAATAAAACCTACTTTGTGGAAAATAATGGAAATTTATTATTCTATAGAGCACTCAATTTGAGATGTAATAATCATGGACACAGACATTTTCTTTCTCGCCCTGTCACATAGGCTTTTCAGACACATAGATACCCCAGACCAAATTAACTTTGTGTAAACACACGCAGCTCCATTCTGTATATCAGAGCTGATCTAAAATTCTTAAAAGTACACCTACTGGGTAAAACTGTTTAAATTGCAGAAGTACAAATAGTTTTTAATTCTACATATAAATCAAAAAATACATTAATGCTGCAGACTACCATACAGCACGGTTATACCTGGTGTAAGCTGGACCAGGCTGGGTGTCCAGCCAAAGCAGCCCAGGCAGTGCTCAGCACAGCAACTTCGACCTTCCTCATTTCGACAGTGCAAAGAAAATGAAGTCTAATCTGCAAATATAAGGCCTGCACTTTGGTTACTTCATTCCTAAGAAGGAATCTAATGGTCTTTTCTTAGGTTTATGTTAGACATTGTTGGAGTTGACATAAATCTTCTCTGTCTGCCCAAGGGATGATTCTTCTCTTCTTCCTGTGTTCCATGTGCCATGAAAATTAGAATTTCTATAACTGTAAGCAGGCTGGAAGAACATTTAAAAAAAAAAGAAAAAGAAAAAGAAAAGAAAAAGAAAAGTTTAAGGACTTTTCTCTAAACAGCTGCAACTTTGAAAAAGGAGAAAAATGTCACATTTTCCTCATATGCTGATTTATTATTGGGAAATATTCAAACATCAATTGAATTTTTTTATTTTTTTTTTGTCTTCTTGCATGCTACAAATACATTTCAGGTTAAAACATGAAAAAAGTCTCACTATGAATGTTTCCCAGCTGTCCTGCATCAGGTGCCTGGTAAAGCACCAGTGGCATGCCCCCTTTCCCTTACATACACTCTTCAGATAATGAAGTAGTCTCTCCTATGTCAATCTTAAAATATGACCATGCTAAAAATTAGTCATGTAATTAAGACAACTTAATGTGACAATGCTCTAATTAACTGGCATGGGAGGAAAGGTTATTTCCGTAGCAAATGAGTAGTCCATAGCCTATGGTCTCTCTAGTAACAGCTTCATTCTAGTACGGTGGCCTAACAATCAAAATGAGAAGAATGGAAATGGCATGAGGTTAAACGGCTTTATAAGGATATATTGACAGTGGACGGATCATTGGATCATACAGAAATACCATCTGAGAGGAGATAAGTGGAGAGCCAGTCTCACATCCCCTGTGAAAATGGGATAATTTCCCTAAGCACAGCAGAACTTCATTCCCCAACTCAAAATATGAAGAGACAAGGCAGAAGCAGTGAAATTGGCTCCTGTTTTTCCACTTCTGAAGGCCTTGAATAGGATTATTAAAGGGGGGGAGGGGATGAGGGAGGAGACTTAAAGCTGCAAAACATTGATTATGACAATACAAAAGGAAAACAGAAACACTGAAGCAGCTGTCCCAACAAATTACAGTGAAGCTCAACTAGAAAAAATAGATAAAGACAAAAATTATCACAGGATACAATTTTTTGCCTCAGTTTTACAAGTAGCGACTTGAAGACGACAAATAAATAATACAAAAGCTAGTGAATCAAAAGAGCTAATTTGTTAATAACATGGAAGGCAGTTACATCTCTAAATGTAGCTGTAAAACATTAAAGAACATTCATTAAAAAAAGAGTAAATAGCAATAATCATACTTTAAAATATTACATTTTTCCTGTCTATATAGTTTAAGATTAGACTATAAGATTTAAGGGATATAAAAAGAGAAGATACAGAAGAAAAAGAGGTTAAGAAACATACAATACAATATATGAGTAAATTCCAGCTGATCTCACCTGCATCTGAGTAGAATACAAATAATTTGAGAAGGCCTATGTGATCCTCTTCCTCTTCTTTCTGATGGAACACATTCAGTCAGAAAAACAGTGGAGGTAACTGCATCATACATGATAGTATAGTCCAGAATATCTAATTCCAGCACACAAGAGAGAATGCTGGTATTGCTTACCTTCCCTCTGAAACCAGTAATTACAATAAAAATCCAAATAATCTTTCCTCTGACTTGAAAACTGTAACATGCATGAGATCAGCAGTGTTTCACAAAATCCTGTACATAGGAAAAGAGGTTCTTTGATTCAGGAGCAAATACAGTAAGTTTTTGCCAACAAGTTCCATCAGCCTCAGAAGATACTGTGGTAGATGAAGAAATTTTTTTTCTGCTCACTATTTCTTTTCACTGGAAGCAGACATTCTGGATCAGACCACTAGTGTATACTTGGCAAGGAATACAGTAAACTTAGACAATGGTTTAAACTATTAGTCTGGATCCAGCTGTGAGAAAATTTGGAACACTAAATCACAAGACAAAAAAATGCTAGAAGATGTAGAAAACCTCAAGATGTCACCTGTTCTCTGTACACAAAATAGGAATAGTCTATGCCTAGGTTTATGTTATTCCTGACAGGTCACTTTGGGTGTGAAATTTCAACTATACCACTGTGAGCATTTAGCTGACTAAGGAACTTCAGTAAGCCATTTGTTTTTCTAATGTGAAAAAAAGGGGGAGTGGGGGATAAACAGTCATTTTTTTCATAGGCTGTAGCATGAATTAGGTTTTTCAAGTTTAACATTTGGCAAGAAAATTCAATTTTCATATCTACCTTTTTTTCTTAACTGGTTCTGAAGAAAATTAACTGTTAACACCTTCACATTTACCTGCTTTAGTATATTAAGCAAATTGGTTTGTTACTTATTTTTTTTGATAAGAAGTATGACCAGCAGGCCGAAGGAGGTGATCCTGCCCCTCTACTCTGCTCTTGTGGGGCCTCACTTGGAGTATTGTGTCCAGTTCTGGTGTCCTCAACATAAAAAGGAAATGGAGCTGCTGGAGTAAGTCCAGAGGAGGGCCACGAGGATGATAAGAGGACTGGAGCACCTCCTGTATGAAGACAGGCTGAGAAAGTTGGGGCTGTTCAGCCTGGAGAAGAGAAGGCTGCATGGAGACCTCATAGCAGCCTTCCAGTATCTGAAAGGGGCCTACAAGGATGCTGGGGAGGGACTCTTTGTTAGGAACTGTAGTGGTAGGACAAGGGGTAATGGCTTCAAACTTAAAAAGGGAAAGCTTAGGTTAGATACAAGGAAGAAGTTCTTCACAGTGAGGGTGATGAGGCACTGGAATGGGTTGCCCAAGGAAGTTGTGAATGCTCCAACCCTGTCAGTGTTCAAGGCCAGGCTGGATGGAGTCTTGGGCATCATGGTTTAGTGCGAGGTGTCCCTGCTCATGGCAGGGGGGTGATCTTATCTAGATGATCTTAAGGTCCTTTCTAACCCTAACCATTCTGTGATTCTATGATTCTATAAGCAGTGGTGATGCAGATCAGTAGAAAAACTAACAGTAAGACAACAGCAGAAATTCCTCCAGCTATGTTGATGATATGCCATTTGTGATCCCAAGTTGCTAAAATACAATATTAATAAATATTATTAGTATTTTGCATAAACCAGCAGGAACTTTTTATGACAAACTAACTTGAAAATCAGTGATCGTGTAGAGACATTATTTGATGACATCACAATTGTTTCCTCATTTCTAGTTATTCAGCTGAGCTAGTTATTATGGAAGTTGTGGCTGGGATAACCAAAGGTGAGTGAGCACAGACGTATGAAAAAAAAATGTTACCTTGTATAATCCTTTCCCATCCCCTTCCCTCCCCTGCTAAGAAAGCACTGTGTAGCTAAGTGACCTAATATATGGATAATAAAAACACTCAGACTGCTTAAGTGAGTGCTGTTGGCATTGTAAATGTTGTCCTGTAAGAGATTATCAACAATCACACAATACATCCATAAGCAACAAGATATTTTTCAGAGTACCAGGAATACCACCTCAGTCCTCAAGAGGTTTTCTATTCAGTACTACACACAGCAGTATCAGTTATTTTCTGCTCTAATTCCAAAAGAGATCTCTTCACTTTTTAACAAAAAAATTTCCACAGAAATTTCTTCTGTTTGATCACTTTTTTTTAATAATATATTACTGTACGTGATTTGATGATAGACATCAGGAAACCCACCCTATTTGTTCTACCCTAAGCAAAAATAATTTCTTCGAGAATTACAACCAAGGCAGGAAAAGTTACACTTACAGTAACTTTGCTTAAAACACACTGACTTCTTCAGTACGGAGTCACATCTTCAAATGAAGCTAAGGAGCAACACAGAATCACAGAACCAACTAGGTTGGAAAAGACATGATTAAAGGGTAGAGACAGGCAAGACAACGGCCTTGAGTTATAAGTCAATATATTCTTATGGTGCTTAAGTTTGTGGAGTGGTAATGTGATATTATTCTCTTTTTTGAGGTGAAAAAAGTGAAGGAAAGAACAGAGGTAATGTGCTCAGTCACACTGGAAGCCATGACACAAGTCCTCAGTAAAGTTATCATGCATTTAAAACAGTTAAAATTTTTCTCTTGTCACAATTCTAAACTTGGTTAGTAGTAGAATTAGATAAAAAACGTGTGTTAAACCACAGAACTTCAAGTCAGCTTTTTGCGGCTCACCACGTGGCCCTGCTTCCTGTTTCCATGTTGCACCTCTGCACTTCAGTTTCTCAACATGTAGGAGTCAAACAAAAAAAGTGCAAAAAAAGTGAGGATGCCCAGGGATGGAAAAGGAATAATGCCTCTTGTATTACTTAGTGCAAGAGATTGTGGTCGTATTTCATGGTCACAAAGTTGTTTCTTGTGTTTCAGATAAGCACTAGCAATTCATTGGTGAACAGGGACTAAAAAACTGTCTTTAGGTTAGTCCCTCTTTGATTTTCTGCTCACTGTATGGAGGAAGATAGCATTCAAAGATGAAACCGCAGCTTCCCTGAAGAGCTTTCATTCTGGATAGACAAGAAAGTTACATGCTAGGTTCACAGGCAAAAGGAAACAATCAGTATCACTAAGGACAGTAATCCCAGCTAACCAGCTGCTGAGCCATCACCATGTCTTTTCTCCCCAGGATCAAAAAGATTCACATCTTCTTATCTGGCTATCCTGAATACCAGTTGAGACATGCTCAGGTACACCTCCTTAGTATTAATATGCTCATTGGAAAAAACAACAAAAAATATTCATGACAGAAGAGTCTTATCGTTGCATTCCAATGTTATTTTACTGGGAAGAAAAAAGAAAGAAAATTCTCTCAGAAGTTTATGCTGGTGAAGGTATGTGACACAACAGAGAAGGCTGCCTGATAAAAAAACCTGATGCCTTCTGGATTATAACCACGTATGAAATCACTCTACTTCCAACATGTTTTCATCTGCTGTGTACTTAAATGACAGGATAGTGCATATACATATGTTCAAATTCAGGGAAAATTATGTCTTTTTCCAGGTGTTCAGCTACCTGCTACAGAAAATCATTCTCTCTGCCATGAGTATTTACAGAAATAAGGAGAAAACATCCTGTAATCAGAGCCAAAATTGTAAAATCTTATATTTTATCATCAAGGATGGGTGAATCTCGATAGAGTTCCATGCTTCAGCAGCATCCCCATCCTTCACTCCAGACCTAATTTTTATTTTCCTGAAGTTTCTCCTTCAGCTTTATCAGGTTAAGATAATCACCTAGGAGTTAATGAGTTTGAGAGCTGAGATTATCAGCTGTCAGTTAAATCTGGATGAGAAAAATCATTAGATTTTTTTTTTTTTTAGAACTGACAACAGCTCAAAGCCCTCTTGCCTTTTCTCATTTGAAGTGAGCAAAGCCTTCCTGAGGCATTTGTTTTCTTTAACTAAATAAAACCTTTTATAATTACTGACTTTAACGTAACATTCAAAAGTTTGCAGAAACATGTCAGGGGTTTGTCATGTGTCTCCTTAGTTCTTGTATTCTCATCAAAGGTGGCATGCTGACAGCAGGCTATTAAGTATATTTTCAGCATCAGTTCAATTTCTGTTAAGTATTAAACAATGTGTCCCTCTCTCTGCCATCTTTCTAGCCTTGGCATTTTCTCTACATGTTGTGAAATTTTTTTTGCAGGAAGGTTTTTGACCTTCAGTGCGCTGACTGGTTTTGAGGAGGAAGCACTGATGGGCCAGACAGCAATTTGTTTTAACAAGAGATTTGAACTGCACTGTAAAGATCTGCATGTAGTTTGTTACATGCCTTGGTGGACTGGCACATATGGTATGCTAACTAGACATCTGAAATAGCTTTGCCCAAATCTGAAAGGCAGAAATCCAGCATGAATGCATTCATGCCCAGAGAAAGGTGATTTGTTGAGTAGAGACCCACAGCATGGTCTGATATCTTGTGTTCACACTGTATAAATTCATGAGGAAAGAGGGAAGCTAATTTTACTCCTACGCTGATTCTCTTCACCACCAACTGTAGTCTTACCTTCTGTTTTCTGTGGCACAGAAGTGCTGCTGTCTCCTCCCAGCTCAGAAGGACATATGATAACCCTCGGTGACTGGACAAGTAGTCCCCTGCTTTTCATCTGCTGCTAGTAAGGTCATACTGGGTGCTATTGAAAATCATTTAAAGGCATAACCACCATGGGTTCAAAAAAGGGAAATTCCTGTCCAACTGATGTGATAACCTTCTATTATGGTAAGATAACCAGCCAGATGGATGAAGGGAACAAATGCACTGTGTGCAGTTCTGGGTCTCACAATTTAACGATATTAAGGTATTTGACTAAGGTGTCCAGTGGAGGGCAACAAAGCTGGTGAAAGGGATAGTACAAGCCATAATGTAATTCTGACCCTAAATATACATTTAAACACAACCACCAACCAGTTTTTCAGACCTAGTGGAAACATATAGCAACACAAAATGTTTCTGTTTTAATTTGTCTACGAGAGCTTGTTATCCCACTTTCTACTGAAGCAAGAAAAACCTTATTAAATCTTTCTAAAAATGGCTGGGTCTTCAGGTTGGAATAGGCTTTTTTTTTTTCAACCCTGCTAATTTTTCAGTTCTTTCATATAATATCTCCCCTTCTTTCCCAGTCATCTGTCAAAACAATACATGGACTGTAAGTCTGTTTCCTTCCTTCAAAAGCATGCTCAAAAAAAAGAAATCTGATCAAAGGAAAAAGCAAGGTAAGTGAAAATCAGAAATGGGTTCAGATGTGGAATCTGGTGATGTGTCCAATCTCCATATTATTACTATTTTTAGAAGGAGAAATATGGTGAAGAACACACCAGAAATTAATCCAAAGTCTCTTGAATGCATCATATAATTATGTAATATTCAGCCCTCTGTTTTTGTAGGTGTTGTCCAACAAAAGCTACACTCCTTTACATATACATGCTGCTTTATGTGTGCCAGGTTTCAAGGTCAAAAAGATTTGCAGAAGGCCTTTTTCAGATGGAAATTCCTGTTACTAAAAACAACAGCCAAAATATTTAGTGGGATAGAATGGACAAACTTAATGATATTGAAAGCATCTCATGTTTTTATCTTCACTCATGTTGAAAAATGTTAAATGCAGCATGCTGACTTCTACTGATACAAACGCAAGAATAGTGCAGGCTTTCCTATTGTTTGAATACCTTTTCCCTCCTCTCTTCCTCTTTTCTTCATAGGAATTCCATGCTGGTTTTCCTTGCAAAAACATGTTCACCTATAGACAAGAAGCAATCTACTTCTTTCTATAGTATCACCCCTCAGAATCTGCAGGTTTGGAACTATTATCAGTTCTGCAAATAATCCTGTGTTCTTACTTCAACTGCCTTTCACCCAAGATTCTTCCTCTTCACACATTCTTGGGGTGTCTCCATAAATAATAAAAAGGTTTCTTTTCTTTTACTCTCTCTCAAGCTAATCGGAGTTTTTGCTATTACTGTTTACAGTGCAGCTATCCTCCCAGCTCCTAAACTCAGTATTTAAAAACATCTCTGGAACTGGGCAAGGAAAGAAGATTTGCAGTACGCATGCAGAATCACACTGACAAACTACTAAAATTGGAGGAGTTTGGTAGCAAATCCAAGCTCGAGTGTGGCTTAGCTGTAATGCTAAGCCAAAGAAAATTATGTGGCTGAATTGATAGAACATACACAAAAAACTAGCGTAGCAAGTTTCTGTCAGCACTTGGTTTATTCAAGCCATGGCTGTTGCATCAAGCAAAGTCACTCATGCATTTGTGAGAGACTTCACTGGCTATGCCACACAGTGCGGGGGGAGCTGGCGCCTGGCCTGTCGCATCTTTCCCCTTAGTGTTTCTCTATCTCACTGCAAATATTGTGTGTTAGGAAACATTCCAAATGTTAAAGAGAAATAATTGGAAATCCTTGAGACTTCACTTCTTTTGAAATTAATGAGAATTCAACAAAAAAAAACCCACCTCGTAATATCAATTGAGGACTTAAAAGGGAGACAAGGGAGTGATTTCTGAATCAGACTGTACTTCAGCTTCTGCAATGGTTTTGTACTTTTTTTCCCTCCAATAAACAGGCATAACTATGCTGGCATTGCTAGAACTAAAAATTATAAATAGGATTTATTTCAAGAGCAAAAATAGCATGAAAATGAAAATCTTCTTGTAGAAAAAAATAGTTTGTGTAGGTAGAACTGGTAATTCTTAAAATTACTGTATTGCTTGCAACTTATATGCTTTCATTTTGGCATGAGAAGCACTGAACTTGGAGCAAACAGAAAATATTTCTATTACTCTACAATTTGGATATGCTTGATTATACCAATATAGTAAGTATTTTGAAATTTGAATGTTTAAAATTGTCAGAGGTGAGAGGAATTTTTGTCCTGATGCCTCTTTTTTTATGACATTCTGCTCAATTTCATGGACTTTCAAGGTCAAGTATCAAGAGTAAAGCAAGTCAGCATTTTTTCCCAAGCACATTCTCCAATTCTCAATTAACTGTATCAGAAATTAAGCATATTCTGAAGTTTTATACCCCATGCTACAGCTCTTAGATATGTCTACCAACATTCATGTATTACCAGGAGCAAGGCAGTACAACAAAAGCTGAATACTGCAACAGAAGAAGGACTGGGGTAGAACAAGAACTGTATCTTCAAAAAGCATTCTACACAGAACTAAAACTACATGTGTGGACCTAAGCTCCCATTACAGTCAAACTGACAGTAGTCACAGCAAAACCTACAAACCTTCTCAGGTCCCCCCAGAGAAACTCCTTACATGAGTAAGGCTGAGGTCAGTATACATTTACATTTTCAGCTGAGTGTGCTCTTTGCCTTCATTGGAGGGTAAGTCTTGCCCCTGGGACCCTGTGGTGCACTGTGCCAATAGGGAATTCCCCTCATATATTTTTTGAGAGAATGCCCACCTCTCCCTGCAAACTCATGCAGTCTATCCTTTTCCCAGCATCAAACAGTTTTTCACAAACAGGTCAAGTTCAATAATGAGATCAGACAAGCTTAAAACAAGCTTCTTTCTGTGGAAACATGATTGATTGTTAACTTTGCTATCTTTTACATGCTGCTAATTGGAATATGGTATTTAAATTAATCCTTACTTGTTACGGAAGAGTTATTTTTTTATGTGTAAAAGTGTTAATGCCTCAGAAGGTCCTATTGTGAAAACATTTACCGCTCCCTCCTTTACTTACCAGCCACAGTAAAACCCATCACACAGGTTTTGTTTCTTCCAGTAGCTACTCAGCGGCAAGTTGGAAAGTCAGAGGCTGTAATGTTTTGGATGACAGTCTTGGAGTTGCCTGATCATAGCAATCCACCAGTGTACACTTTTTGAAATCTGAACCAAAGCTTTGCTTTCCTAATGAGCTGCACTGAACAACATCTACCCAATCTGCTTTAATCCTTTCCCACATCACTTGCTGCACTGAATCTCCAATTTTATAAAGGCAAGTAAAAGCAACGTTTCCTCCTGGCTTGGTAAACACAAGATTGTTTTGTTTCTGAGATATTTCAAAAACATTTGTTGAAAAACACAAAATACAACAAAAAATGCTTATAATTCATTCAAGGGAAGTTTAGTATCAACAATTCCTTTATGGCAATTCCTTTATGAAATTGACTTACAGCAGAAAGATATTCAGATCATTTGAAATACTGAAAAATATATTGATGTTGTAAAATATCTGTGACTATATTTTTGTGCACATTTAGGCAAAACAATCTTTATGGAACCATGAGCCTGTGATGATGTTGTAAGAAGACTACTATAACTTTTGAGTACATGAGTGTTTTAGTAACAGTTTCAGCAAATATTCAACAGCATAAATTATGGGACCAGTCTAATGAAATTTGCAATAGTCTTGTTCTACTTTCACACTAATTGTAATAAGAAAATGGTTTGATGTGACCCTCAGGACATGCATTAGTAAATTATGTTAAAAGATATCCCAGCCTATGAACTACAGTTCTCCCATTTGCAAACCTCACCACTTAAATTAAAAAAATTCTTACCTGTTCATGTACTCTACTTGGGAAAAATCTGTGTGATAGTCAGGCTGTGGCATGAAAAGAGACTTCCAGACAAATTCAAGAGTTCCATGACATATAAACCATAGGTATTTCTAAACATATTTTACTAAAATCTGCCTGCTCTGAGTTACTGTTTTAACTGTTAACTGTTTTAACTGTTATTTAACTCTGAGTTACAGTGAATAGAATTCACTGCTTACAAATTAAAAAATAAATAAATAAATAAAATATAAAATAAATTTAAAAGCTCTTCAGTGCAAGCACTGTCAATATTTCTGATATTCAGAGTGTTCAATAGTCACTTGGTTTCTAGTCAGCTATGTAATGACCATATCTCATAAGTTAGGAATAGCAGTTTCATCATTTTGAAGACTGGTGCTGAAAAAGGTTAATGATCAGACTGCTTTTTCTACACTGTAAAAAGATTGATCTTTTAAGCTTTTCAATTAGTTTCTTTTTTATTAGATGTCTTTAAGTAAAAAAAATGTCACTACTGTAAACTTTTAATGTGTTTGCCTCTACCTATGGCAACAACTGGAAGAAGAGATAGGAAATTAAAATTGTTTAGGAAAAATGACAGTCATTAAAGGCATACAAATGTGTTCATAAAAATAGTTTTAAAATGAAGATGTAGCCAGATTCATGGGGCAGAGGATGGCTGCAGTAGGACTCTGGGTGGATCTGAATACACAAGGATCTGAATACACAGTAGGACTGAGCTAGATTTAGATGCTCCTTGAAACAATTCTTTTGTCAAAAAACTAGGGAATAAGTGCTGATAAACTGTATTGCTTTGGATGCTGGTAGTGCCAGGGTTGTCTGTATGATAAGTACTGATCATCATTACAGGGTGGCCTAGCTCAGCTCCTAAGCTAGGTGCAAAGAGAAGTAGGATTTCATGTGGGAAAGTATACTACTGGAAATGTAGGAAAATCCTCCATGTGGACAGGATGGAGAATTCATTGAGGAAGTCTCTGACTTCTGAGACTTCTACAGTCTCTGTGAAATGATGAATTAAAAAACTAACCTGCAGTTTTTTATCAATAGAACACAGCAGAGAAAAATTACTTTCCCTCTGCCTTTGGAGACCAAAAGTATGGTTAAAACATTGAAATGCTGAAAGACAAAAGAAACTGTGTCTAATAAGTTTACCTAAAAAAAAAAAAATAACAATAATGAACTTGAAGATCCATGTAGACTGCGATTGAGAAGACAGAAAGTTAATGACAGACAAGGACAGAAGAGAGATAAATTCACTAAGCAAAGCAGAAGGTACAACACAGTGAAGCTAATTAAATCCTTGGACAGCTTGCCAAAGACAGCTACATTTCTATTACAGATGACTGCCAAGGCTGGATAATCATTTAAGATATCATGCTAGTTCGAGCAAGAATTTACTCATGGAAGCCTAAGGATTATTCAAATTAGACTAAATGAACTATGATGGGACTGTATACTTGCAACATAGGCTCCTTGAAGCGCAGTTGCTCAGAAGTCAGTACATTAGAACAGGTAATATTTTTCATGTCTAGAAGAATCAGATCTGCAGATTGAGATTCAGATCTGCCAGTGAAGAGGTGATTTAAATCGTCTCTCTTTCATATCCTATTCTTTGAGGTCAGATCCTTTCTGCCTGTTCCACTTTTTAGACTACTAAATTCCAGCAATTATCTGCATTATGATAAAACACGTTTTTTCTCTGAGAAGTCTCTCCCTCTTAATTGTGCAGTCTTTCCCATCCTCTCCTGCTCTCCTGATCTCTACTGCTACCCACATTCACCTTAGGAACCTTGAAGTCTCCCCATCTTCTCCTGGGTCCATCCTTGCTGTCCTAATCATTGAATGCCAATGCCACCTTGAACTGCAAGTATTTCTCCTACCTAAACATGTTTTTCAGGAAATTATGTGTATGATGCTACCTCCCACCTTCCAGATGATTCCCATCTAACCCAAAGTGCAGCTACCCAGGACTGTGTAACAACCAGCCTTCTTCCCTGCCACACTGCTGTGCATTTGCTAGAAAAATGTACATTACACATATGGTCAGCTGTGAACAAACAGATAGAAGATTTTCTACCAAAATCATGAAAATCCCTTCTACCTTACAATTTTTTAGTTAACTTTGTATGTTATATTTGCCAAACAATATATTCTGGCTTCCCAGTAATCAATAATACAACATAGTGTAGTATACGGTAATAGGCACATTACAAAGCTAAGGTTGCCTTGCAACTTCAGTGAAGAATTTCCAGGTACAAATCCTGATATACTTGTATAATCTTCTGGTATATAAAAAATAAATAATACATTACTAATGAAAACTATGTACAAACAACCACATTAAGATGGTGCTTTGAGAAATTAAAGGTTTGATATTCTTGGCGCCTGCACATTCTATCACAACCATATGAGGTATCACAACCTACACAGGTATTATGATACTTTTTTTTTTTTTTTGCCTTTCATTTTTGGTTTACTTGTCAGTATGTAACAACCTTCAGGTATTTTCGCTCTTGATGAAAGATGTAAATCTCTCCCCTTTTTACATTATGATACCTCATACAATTTAAATGATTATGTAAGGCACAAGCAGGGGAGACCTACGTAGTTCTAATTAAATCTTCCAAGCACACTAAAGTGTTCCAGGCTTTTGTTTTAAATGATTGTCCCATTTTATTTTGACACCAGCATCAGCATAGTTCTTTCATCCTCCCTCTCTGTTCAACCACTTTCTTTATTTAGCTCTTTCCTAAACACAGTTTCTTTGCTTTCAGCCTGGTACATGTGGGATGAGAACCTCCCACTCTGAGAAATAATTCTATGGGAAAAAAGCAGGCCCACACACCTTCACCCCCGCACACGCACAGCTCAAGGTGACACACGATGTGCAAACATCTCAGAAATGTAAAAATCAAATGTAACATTGCATCTGATAAAAATAGACTTCCCCTGCCTGATGCTTGTTCCAGCCACTGCCACTGCTGCCTGCTCTGCCCCTGCCATGCCCACATAATCTTGCCTCCTGGACAGAAAATAGGGGCGGGTAACAGAAATCACTGTAGGTGCATTTGCCTCTGCTTAGTGAGTAAGGGCTCTGTGTTTGATATCCTCCCGTAACTCTTTTGGTAGGATGTTGTCGTATTTTGCAATTATTCTATCTGCCATTAGACATTTCAAGGAGAAAAAATGTGAGTTTTCATTTTCTTTAAATATATAATCATTCAATATTTTTCTTGGAAAGCAGTTGTCAGCAATATAGAGCTATAAAAGAGGGTAAACCAGCTTCCTGGGATTTAAAGAATCAAGGAACTAAACTTAAATTTTGCAGCACAGAAATTGCTGGAAATAAGAAATATTTTTTGAGGTAAAATAAAATAATGGTGTAGTCTAGTTTTTGTGGATATTTTTTTCCTTTCCATTTCCTGTCCTTGCTGCAAACAATTAAAAGTCAAATTGAATGTTATGTAAAAGTTTGGTCCCCATTCTTTTGGATAGGGATTTTCAGACTTTCTACTTCTTGGTTCCTGTCCTATGCACTTCAAATTTTTTTTTTGCACTTGTCTTCACCTTGTTTATTCACTTTTAGAGTCAGTTATCTACAACATTTAAGGTGCTGTGCTCTGCAAATTTAACTAGTCCCAGATTTATAATTTTACACAAGGTTCAAGAGTTTCGCTCTGGACAACATATAAATGTTGTGCATTCCTCCTGGTTTAAAACCATTTATGGAGAAACCAATATTCATACTTCAAAGTCGAGTTCTGCAATTTCAGAAAGGCAAAATTCAACACAGTAAAATAAAATGCATGGAAACACTTTCTGGCTTAACATGTTTCTGCATCGCTGTTGAGGATTAAAACTTAGCAGAGGTTAAGTACTACCAGAGCTGGATTTATACAAAGAGTGTTACATCAACACAATATTTTTCTTCTGCCTATAATAAGTGAGAAATTAAATTGCAGATGAAAAGGAAGCTTAAAATTTTACGAAGATGAACTTTCTCTCGAGCTCTTCTTTGCACCAGGAAAATAAACTTTCAGGTAAGGAAATACTTCAAGAGTGACCCCTTCACCCTTCCTGAAAATGCTAAATATGAAATTATATTTAGCTTCTAAATGAATGTCTTCTAACTGTAGTACATACCACACAACTAGTATCATAGACTCATGGAATCATAGAATACTTAGGGTTGGAAAGGACCTTAAGATCATCTAGTTCCAACCCCCCTGCCATGAGCAGGGACACCACACACTCAACTAGGTCGCCCAAGGCTCTGTCCAGCCTGGCCTTAAACGCCTCCAGGGTTGGAGCATTCACAACTTCCTTGGGCAGCCCATTCCAGTGCCTCATCACCCTCACTGTGAAGAACTTCTTCCTTAGATCTAATCTAAACTTCCCCTGTTTAAGTTTAAAGCCATTACCCCTTGTCCTACCTCTACAGTCCCTAAAAAGGATCCCTCCCCAGCATCCATGTAGGCCCCCTTCAGATACTGG